GTAAAATATACGACAGGTCTGGACCACTCGTAAATTTTGTTCGTATCTGAAAAAATCTTAGAATACAAAAACATTGGTGAATGTCACAAATTCTCCTAAATCACTCGTACGCACAACTTAAGAACAAATCTGCGCGTACGAACAGTTCTTGCATGAGGCCCATTGATTTTTGAAAAAGTGGACCATTAAAACAATAATATTAAATGTGATGTGTTTGCAAATTTGGGTGCACCTAAGGAAAAATGTTAGGTGCACCAGTGCAACCAGTGCAAAAGGTTCGACTACGGCCCTGTTTAATCAGCTGTAACTGAACAAACCGTAGGCGTCTTCGTCAGGCTCCCCGTTGCTGGCAGAGTAATACTCGATGACCGTCCTGTAGACGCTGTAGCCCAGACGTTTGTACATGTTGACCGCCACCTGATTGGACACTCGCACAAACAGATCCACGAAGAACCCGCCTTTCCTGCCAGGAGACAGAAACACACCTTCAGACCCCACCGACCCACAACCCTGACCCCCCGCCTCTGAGCTCAGAGCAGGACACGAACCTCTCAGAGATTTCTTCCAGCATCTCCATGAGTTTGGCGGCGAGGCCGAGCCTCCTGAACTCCGGCGCCACAGATAGAGCGGTGACGTGACCGTGCCACTCCTCCCGAGCCACAGATCCTTCCGCCTTCCCCATAACTAAAAAATTAAAATTAAATTAAAAAAAAAAACTCAGAAAATAAAGAGCCAAGAAGCAGTCAGAACCATCAACAGACAGACACCCATCAGAACCTACTGTAGCCCATCAGCTCGCCACCCGGAGCCTCAGCAACAATGAAATACTCGGGCCAGTGAGCCAGGTACTGCAGGTAGAACGGGATCCCATACTGGAGGTCAAAGGTCACAGAAAACAGCTGTGGTTCTGAGAAGGGAAGTGGCTGAGATCCAGAAACTCACACTGAAAATACATTCAAATTAATCTGCCTGATGTCAGAAAGAAACAAGAAAAAAACATTTCTTTCAGATGTCTCAACGTGATCAATGCTTCAGATTTCTTCTTGTCCATTAAAGGATACAGTTTCAGTTAAAGGATCCAGATTTCTGTGGAAGAAAAAAAAATATGGTTTTGTTTTTCAGAAAAAAGAGGAGACAATCCTCTGAAATCTTCTCTGACGAACTCAACCTACTTTTCAGCTAAAATCAACAATTTAACAGAAATGAGGAATATTTAAAATTAGTTCACTCACTAAACATTATTCAGATGTTTATTTTGAGTTTTATGAATAAATCGGCCTCATGTTTAAGAGCATAAAAACTTAGGAACAAAAAAAATAACAGAAATGAAAATATAAATGAGCTGCGAATAGGAGCAACAAACAGCTAAGCTGCGGCTAACCGGGACTAACCGTGTCAACCAGGGCTAACCGGGACTAACCGGGTCAAACAGTTCAAACACGTTTTACTCACATGTTGTTGAATTTGAACAGATCATCGCAGGTAAACGGTCGCAGAGTCGTCATGTCGGCTATAAACCTGTATCGGCTACGCTCGGCTTGTTGTTCTCAAACCGGAAAAGGAGGAACCAACAGAAAAAAAACGAATAAACTCTTCAGTGCCCCCACAGGAAGCCACTGGCATTACACCTTCTGCTTTTAATAGCCTAATGTTACATTAACACTGTATACAAGTACAGACTGATGGGTTTAACACTGTATACAAGTACAGACTGATGGGTTTAACACTGTATACAAGTACAGACTGATGGGTTTAACACTGTATACAAGTACAGACTGAGGGGTTTAACACTGTATACAAGTACAGACTGATGGGTTTGTATTCATGTGCTGAAGTTTCACACTATGCACGGCACTGATAAGGTGCTCCTCTGCTCCTTCACCTCCCAGCAGGGGTGGAGAAAGTACTTAAAGACTGTACTTCAGTAAAAGTACAGATAAACTGACAAGAATGTACTCTAATAAAAGTAAAAGTACCGCATTAACATTTTACTTGAGTAAAAGTAAATAAGTACTTGCTTTTAAAAATACTTAAAGTATTAAAAGTAAAAGTACTTGCTTAATGTGTTCCCTAATGGTCTACAATATCATGAAGTGTGTCTACTGTATGTCTATTTTAATAAAACAGTGGTGCCATTTTAGTGAACAATGCTGCAGATGATGCATAGTTTTGTGTTTACACTCTGTGACACTGTTCACACGTGGACTTGTGATTCTGTGCATCATCACATTTTGTGACAACAGCTAAAGAAGATGTAAATTCACCACCAATCTCCTCTATCAAATCTCAACAAGTTATTTTTTGAACCAGTTAAATGAGGCCATGAATGGCACATTTCCTCCATGGTGGAAACCACTGTGGGCATGCTGATGCTCTGCTTTTTTATGAAGGAAGGTGTGATGGTACTTTCCTGCTTTGTTCAATGGACCAATTACAGCAATTCCCCCTCTCGCCACTGATTATTTTCTAACAAAAAATATCAAATAAACCACAAATAAAATAAAAAAATAGACGTGACATGAATGTACTTTGTAATTCAATGCATTACAAAAATGTAGTGGAGTAGAAAGTACAGATACTTAATGTAAAATGTAGTGGAGTAAAAGTCAAAAGTACCCACGATGAAATCTACTTATGTAAAGTACAGATCTTGTGCATGAAAAATGTACTTCAGTACAGCAAGAAAGTACTTGTACTTAGTTACATCCCACCACTGCCTCCCAGGTGTCCAGCTGAGTGAAGATGACACCCCACCTCCTACATGAATAATCCAGGCAAATAGGCTGAGTGATCAGTGCCTCATTAAAATGTTCATTTGTGCTGCTATGGTTTTTTGAAATATTACAAGTTTTAATTTCAGCTGCTGTAATTCATCTTGGTCAAAATGGTAACTGGAAATATAATGATTTTTCATTTAATCTGCAATATTGTCAATTTTAATTCCATGGTCTGAACTTATACAATGCTTGATCAAGTCCTTGCAGACTCCACAGCAGACACAGCTGTCCTGGGGCAGAGGGGTGGGGCTGCAGACCAGACCCTCTGACCACCACCAGCAGGCTTCAATGCATTCTCTGCAGCATGAAAGTACACTGACACACCTCTGTACACACGTACTAACTAGTAATACTAACTAGTAATACTGTTTAGCTGAAATGAAATCAATGTTTGAAATGATAAGAATTGTTTTAGGAGTATTGTTTTTTCTTCCTGCTGGGCTGGAGTGTGAACGATGGTAAACCAGAAAATTCTGCAAATTAAATCATAAACTGCTTCTTTTTTGTGTCTTTTTAAAAAGATAATCTGGTTGAGAAACCTCTGTGGACCAGAACCCCCCAGATGTTCTGATGTTTGACTTCCTGTTCAGAAGAACTCCAGCCAACCAGCAGGGGGAACCAGTGCACCACACAAACACCAAGCAGGTCTGCAGCAGGACTTTCCATGACCCATCTGAAGGTTTCTCTTAATGTGAGTCAGATGGAGGCAGATTAATGAGGGAAACAGTCTCTGCTTCCACCAGAGCCTCATTCTGCTCAAACTGAAGCTGACAGGAAAAATATCCCACAACTGATGACATCATTCAGGCTGAAACAAAGAATTTGATTCTACATCTCTGCAGACACATTGACTTCTCAGAAAACTTCTAATTAGGATTTACAAAACAACTTTCAGACAAACATACAAACAAACAAAAGAAACAAAAAAGTCCACAATCAGTCCAACATCCGTCCACAATCAGTCCAACATCAGTCCACAACCAGTCCAACATCAGTCCAACATCGGTCCACAATCAGTCCAATATCCCTCAAACATCAGTCCACAATCAGTCCAAAATCCTTCCAACATCAGTCCACAATCAGTCCATCATCAGTCCACAATCAGTCCAACAACCTCCCAATATCAGTCCACAATAAGTCCAACATCAGTCCACAATCATTCCAATATCTGTCCATCATAAGTCCAACATCCTTTCAACATCAGTCCAACATCCTTTCAACATCAGTCCACAATCAGTGCAACATCAGTCCATCATCAGTCCAACATCAGTCCACAATCAGTCCAACATCAGTCCACAATCAGTCCAACATCGTTCCACAATCAGTCCAACATCCTTTCAACATCAGTCCAATGTCAGTCCAACATCATTCCACAATCAGTCCAATATCAGTCCACAATCAGTCCAACATTAGTCCACAATCAGTGTAACCTCGGTCCATAATCAGTCCAACAACCTTCCAATATCAGTCCATCATCAGTCCAACATCAGTCCACAATCAGTCCAACATCCTTTCAACATTAGTCCAATGTCAGTCCAACATCATTCCACAATCAGTCCAACATCAGTCCACAATCAGTCCAACATCCTTTCAACATTAGTCCAATGTCAGTCCAACATCATTCCACAATCAGTCAAACATCAGTCCACAATCAGTCCAACATCAGTCAAACATCAGTCCACAATCAGTCCAACATCAGTCAAACATCAGTCCACAATCAGTCCAACATCAGTCCAACATCAGTCCACAATCAGTCCAATATCTGTCCATCATCAGTCCAACATCCTTTCAACATCAGTCCATCATCAGTCTAACATCATTCCATAATCAGTCCAACATCAGTCAAACATCAGTCCATCATCAGTCCAACATCATTCCATAATCAGACCAACATCAGTCCAACATCAGTCCACAATCATTCCAACATCAGTCCAACACCTTAAAGTAGAACAAATCATGAAGACCAAGGAACACTTTAAATGACTTACAAGAGCTTATCATGAACTAATCCAGGACTTCAAAGAATAACCCAGAACAACATCTAAAGTTCTGTTATCAACTCAGGTCAAAGTTCATAATTCTGAAGAACAAGACTCTTTACGTTCTCATGAAGGAAGAGGAGATGAACATGTTTTCTACCAGCAGAACCTCAGCCAAACCCTGTTCTCCAAAATCAAATGAACTCCACATTAAAACAAACTCATTAGACCAATCAGCTTTTATTAGTTTTGTGTGACCTTTAAAACTGTGCTCTGCAGATGGAATCAATAAACAAACATGTTTGTTTGTTCTATAAAGAACCATGAAGGAGGAGGACCTTTGATCTTTTTACTAGAAAAACCTGTATGTTTACATCACGCCTCAAAAATACAGCAGAACAACTGAAGATGTCTGGGTTTGATGCTGGGTCCAAAGAACTCCAGGTCCACCTGAGATGGTCCACTCTGACAAGGCCCATTCTGAGACGGTCCATCTGAGACAGTCAACTTGAGTTGGTCCACTATGAGATGGTCCACTCTGTCAGGTTCTGGATGTGTACCGGTCTCAGGGTCTCAGAAGACCAGCTGCTGGTGTTGAAGAAATGGACTTCAGATCTGCAGCTGAAGACATGTCACCTCCAGTTTTCATGTTGCACCTTTTCTACAGAACTTTACCTGCAGGTTCAAAGTCTGACTTTAACTTGAAGACGTTTGTCCACCGTGGAACCAGAACCTGACCACGTTCAGGATGTTGGTCCTGGTCCATCCTGAGGTCAGATCCAGTCCACCTCTCCAGGTTTTTCTGGGAGCTTCAGGATGATTTGTGTTATCGACATGAGTCCACAAACATCCCTCTGCTGCCAGCTGTGACCCGAGGACACACATCTTCAGAACCACCCTCACACACAGAACTGGACTCTCCTCCTTTCCAAGAAGGTTCCACAGCAGGGGGGGCCAGACTGAGCAGAACTTTGTTCTCTCAGGAATTTTTATTTGTTATCTTATTTTTCTCCAACATCTGAGCTCCACATGATCCAAATTTCAAGTTTAAACCCTGGGAACACCAAACAGAGGAAACTGCCTGCACTTTCACTTCACAAGTAGAACAAAAGGTTTTCATCTGAAAGAGTTCATTGTGTCCTCGGCACCAGTTCCTCTTCCATCTGTCCATCACAGGGACAGCTAAAGACAAACAACCATACTGACTCTATTTAGAGTTGTAACTTAACTGGGAGGTTTTTAATCTGTGGAGAAAACCCACACATGCACAGAGAAACTATTTAGTCTGCTCCCAGAGAGGCCCCAGGTCAGGATTTGATCTGGCAACCTTCTGGCTGAGTGGTGACAGCTGTGTCAACAATTAGTAGGAGTAATAATTGTTTTTTCATAAATTTATTAACAAACATGTTTAAAGAAAAGAGACGAGTTTCTCCTGAATCAGAGTTAAGGACAGGAGCTCTGGAGGCGGGGCTTATAGTTGATTAATATATTATGGTGAGACCTCAGAAACTCATGCCAGCTTTTTATTTATTTCCCTTTTTGCAAAACCACTCTGCTTCCTGCAGCTCAGCTCCAAGTCCAGGAATTAGTCTGCTCCAGATGATGGCCTAAACCTGGAACCGTTTTTATGTGTTCTACATGGATCCCAACACCAAGACCGGTTCAGGTGTTGGAGACCTGTCACAGAAACTAGTCCATGGTCTCTGTGATCAGCAGAACCCCGTGCACATTCACACATGCGTGTTCACAACCAGAAAACAAGTGATGTCAGCGTTATCTGATCTGTAGCCTTAGAGGCTGAAGGGTTTCAGTTTCAGC